TCGCTTATCGATTACGTTATTTAATTGTTATTATATAATGAAATCAAGATTTGTTCTAGAGATTGTAAAGAAGTTTGAGTTGATGCATTTACAATTAAAAATAAATTTGAATAAACTATTTATTTTTTTCAGAAGAGTAAGAAGATAATCTGTGTATATTAATTATATTATATACTTTTTAATTTTGAGTATTTCTTTATACATATAGACTGTTTCAGTAGAATTTATAAAAATGAATATTTTCATTCTCTTCTTCTCTCTTTTCTCTTTTATACATAAGACATTCTCACTTTTCTCTTTTATTCACAATAATAATAATAATAAATTGATTATAAAATCTTCTCTTTCTCTATTTCTCTTTTCAATTTCTTTTCTCTTTCTTTTTTTAATTTCATCATCATCATTTATAATACATACAACCTTTTTTGCATCAGAATCTATCATACTCTTATTGTTTTTCCATTTCATACATTGCATGAGATGTTCATTTCATCATATCAAAGAAGAAGAACATTGACAAAGATTTGTGTATATAATTAAAAAACAGATTTTTAAATTTTTTTTTTTTCATAAAAAAAAAGATCAGCTTTCTTTCACAGTCTTTTTCACAATATCATTTTTTCTTTTTCTTCATATATAATGAACAATGTGAGTACTTCTCTACTTCTTTATTATACAGTATAGAAAATTGATTATAATACAAGAGCTTTTATTTCATACAATTCTGTTACTACTCAATGCAATTTGATTCAGATTGAATTGATTGATTGATATTATTTAACTGCTGAATATCAAGATAAATGACAGAAATTGTGGCGTTCTGCCTCTAGTCTCTCTTCCGCCCTGCTCCTTCCGCCCCTGCATTATTATTCCTCCTATTCTTCCCGTATGCTGCGATCGCTCCTTCCTCTGGTTTGGATCGCTGACGGGATGACTATGTATATATATAGGGGCGTTCGCCCACCCTTCTAGATTAGGGAAACTCAGACATGAATTATCCTATCAATTGAACGGTGTACACCATAGAAATGATTAGAATATGATATAATATATATCAACAACTCTCAACTGAATATATTTTATCATAATCTTCAATCTCATATTCTGCTTATTGTTTTTGATTTTGATATATCATACATTCATATATATATCAAAGCTGATCAAATGTTGTCTCATCATTTATTATATATAAATACCATTTTGATTCAATTCTGTGATAGAACTTTTATCATAAATTATATATAATATCATATATTCTCTAAGCTTAAACTGTTTCCATTATGCTGCTGTGCATATAGCCACTTTGAAAAAATATGTGTCAATTGTAAGTAATATGATCATGCAATGCATTGCTCCCTTCACAGCTCTGCAGATCAGTCAGATATATATAATAATTTTCATAATAAACAATTATCACAATTACAATCATCAGTAATAAATGATGCAAATTATAATACTCAATCTGATGTATAAAATAATCTCATTTTTATTGAATAGAGTATATATAAAGCTTTCATTTTTCTTTTCATTATTTAATCTCTCTATTCTGTTTTATTCTGTTTTATTCTTGCTCTTTGATCTCTGTTTCTTCATTATTATTATATATTATATTATTATAGAGTTAGACTTAGTTATATGAGCTGTGTATGACATTCAAACAGTTGATTTACACTTCTACACAGTGTTTGAGATCAGTAGCTCATTAATAGAGATGAAGTCAAACAAGTTATTTAATTAGTGGTTATATAACTTTCTGTGTGTGAAGTCATATGTACTTGAATTTAATAGTGTTTCTCTTGCTAAATACAAGTATTCTGTACATATGAACATGAAATTGAATACACATCAGCAATAACCTGGTTATATGCAGTGGTGTTGATGGCTGAGTAACTGCGCCTCCACATATAACCTGGTTATTGTGAGGATTGAATTTGAACACATTGTAATCTGATTCATTTATAATTTATATTTTCTACTTTACATATTTTGCAACTTTGAAACCTTCACTTTTTGATTCATAATGTGATCATTTATATAACAATCGCTTTCATCTAATGATCATTGATTTTATCATTCTCAACATTCATATCCATCTTCTTCATCAACGGCGTAAATATGATCAATGAACGCGTTATTTCAGTTAACAAATTGATGAACTTAATAAAGAATTGATTTCTAATTACACTGCTACTGCTAAAAAAATATGAAATCAATTGCATTACATTGACACAGTGGTTTAAAGACCAGCAGATTTCAAAATCAAAAGCTATTTCAATCTTTTATTGAACGTTTACATTTCAAGAAACAAACCCTTCTATCTTATATAAATCATCTAACAGAGTACGGCTTTGCTGTTACATTTCAAATTTTTACAAATTTAGTTGAAGAGATTGTCAAATCATCAATTGAGCATAACTGAGTGCAACACTTTTGTCAACAGCATAAAAATCAAATCTGAAATGTTTATTTACAAATGATTGATTATTCAAAAAAGATTGCAGATAACTCTGTACATTTCAATCATTATTTCATTTTTTATATTGCTATTTTTTGATTATGATTCTGTGGCTTTTAATATGATTGATGGCTAATTTACTGTCAGTCATTCAGCTGCAGAAGAAGATTGCAAAATATAAAATTGAATGTTTAAATATCTACAATTTTGATGAAAAAGGTTTTATATTAGACCTTTTACAAACTATCAAGCAAATTGTCTCAATCGAATCCCTCAAATTCAAACACAATAAAAGTGTATCTCAAGATGAAAGTAGAGAATTCATTTCATTATTTATAGTCATCTGCACAGATGAAACAGATCTACCATTTGCTTTTATATATAAAAAAGAATCACGTGATATGCAAGACATCTGATTAAAGAATTTTAATGATAAAAAGAATAAAGCATATTTACTGCCTCTAAGAACAGATGAAATAATGATGAATATGAGTTTATTTAACTGCAGCAAATGTTCAATTCTCTTACAAAAGTAAAAACAGATTGCAGTTGATGATTACTTATATTGAATGATCATTCTTCTCATATCAACATGAAATTCATCAATTATATAAATCAAAATTGAATATTACTGACAGTTCTTCCTTCTCATTTCATCCACTGTTTATAACCGCTGGATCTGGCGATATTTGGACCTTTGGCAAAAGCTTATTCAAATGAGTTAAATGGAAATATACAGACTGAATTGAGTCTCATTCACACTACAAAAAGAGATTTTTGATGATTATTTAAAAAGACGTGAGAAACTGCTGTTATATCTTCTAATATTGAGATTGCATTTGCTGCTGCTGGCATCTTATCTTTCAACTCTGAACACATGTTTGTAAAGATTGTACAGCTCAAGACTTCATCAGAGTTTCTAGAATTTAAGACTTCTCCATTTATTGATGAAATGAGAAAAAATGATGAAGAAGATAAATCAATAACAACATTGAGTTTTTAATTGGTATTCACTAAGAATTACATGCCT